AATTGTTTTTTGTCCTAAATTAGCATTTGTTTTGAGATCTGGGACATATATGTCATCATCATCATAATCCATCCTCTTGAACCACATTAAGCAGTGTGAGGAGGAAGTCTATAGAGCCTTCTCCAGCACTGCCGGTCTTCCACAAGACGCCTTCTTTCATTCCATTGAAGACCTCTTTTCTGGAAGTCGCTCTTTCCTTTTAGGCCGTCCTCTTCCTCTCTTGCCCTCTACTTTAGCTCGATAGGTTTCGCAACCTATTCTGTTTTTTTCCATCCTCAGATGTCCTAGCCATCTCAGTCGATTCTCTTTAATCACATCATTGGCCTGCTTAATATTGAGGTTCCACCTGATGGTGGTGTTGCATATTCAGTCTCTTTTCGTTTTTCCCTCAATCTTTCGTAGGAATCGCATTTCTGACGCTTGTGTCCTTTATTGATGTTTCTTTGTCAATATCCATGATTCTGAAGAGTAATGTCGATCTGAAAACAGCTACTTTTGTTTTATTTTCCACCTCTCGCCTGTTTAGAAAAACTTTCTTAACTGCTTCAAACATCCTGCTCGCAGCAGAGGTTTGCTCAGTCACCTCTGAATCGATGTATCCATGTTCATTAAGGTGTGCGCCCAGGTATTTGAAGTTTTCTGCCTGCTCGAGGATTTTGTCTTCGACTCTGATGACACGCGTATTTCTCCTAGGCTTCTTCCCAACCCTCATTACTTTCGTTTTTACAGGGTTAGTAATCATATTAATCTTCCGCAATTCTTCTTTTAATTTATTAATATTGTATCGAAGATTCCTGTCATGGGACATATATGTTTCTGTAGAAATATTCGGTAGGTTCCACCTAGGAAAGTTTTTATCTAGCAGCTTTAGAATTTAGGTTCATATTTAATGCTAATATTGTTTGAAATATATTTTTCCTGAAACTGTTATTTACAGAGGTTTGTAGATCAAATATGATGTCTCTTAGGAGTGTCTTGGTATTGACATTGTGGCCCCATATTTTGCAATCATAAATGCTCTCCTTGTCTTGAGGGATAGTTCGGCGTATTCTGCATAAAGGCTTTCAATTGGTGATGTTCTATAAGCTTCTAAGCATATCCTTAATGGAGCATTATGAATTGGGTCATGTATTTTCAAAATATTTCTTTTTGAGGTTCTGTATGTAAATGCTCCATAAACATAAAATTGTATGATTACTTGCAGAACTTACAATTAAAAGCTCGTTATATTCCCGTTATTAAGATTGTATGTTTATAATTTACTATTCCATGTTTGTAAAAGTGTTGGAAATCAGAAATTTCTGAAAAAGTCAGGATGTTACCTAAATCAGGATGCACTTGTCTGTTTATGCTGTGATCTTGTTTTCTGTCCTTATAATGCCTAAATCGGAAACTCTTCGCCTTTATTTACTATACAATATTATCCTTACAGTTGTTTTTTTTCTTAGTTTTTGCTCCTCCTACTGAGTAAATATTTGAATTTTTTGCCACCTTTCCATGCTGCTTCACCTCCTTCCTTCCCTCTCCCATTGATAGACCTCTTTATCATATCTTTTCTTTTTCCTCTTAGTTGAATGTGCTGTCCCTATATGTTTTTGATTGTTTCTGCTGTATTCAATAGTATTTTATTTAATTTAATTAAAATGAAAATTATAATATCTGATTTATTCTGTGTGTAAGCACTTTCAGATTATTTTTTTTTTATGATCACTTACTGCATTTATTTATTTATTTATTCCACATGCATGTAGCAGATTATTTATTATATAATTGTTTTGTTACTTTTATTAAAGCAATTTTATATAGATTCAAATCATGGTGTCAAAAAATATGGAAAGTCAGGGTTAGTCAGAGAATTTTCCTGCAATTTACTGGAAAAAAAAATGAAAAACAAAATAAAAAGTTTAAAAAAAAAAGTTATAAAATAGTTATCCAAAACATTTGTCTTTTCAATAGGCCTTATAGAATTGGTACATCTGCTGAAAAATCACCCAATGTGTTCTAGGTGATAGGTCTGCGTTCAGTCTTTTCGCTCTTGACTCTTTTTGTATCGATAATAATGTAAAAAAAAAGCGATTCCTTCTGTTTTTTTATTTTTATATGTGTCGATTTATTCTCTTATAAATGAACCATAGGTTTTATTCTACAAAGGTTTGCCTACTCCAATTATCTGTCAGTGAAATCAATTAAAGTAAAGATTTTAGTGAAATTAGTGACGTATTTTTATTGTAAGTTATGGTTATGTGTAAAGAAAGTGAAGAATACTTATGTAGTTTTCTCGATTGATTCTGCTTATCAGAATCTCATTATGAACATTAAGCGCAATCCAATAATCTTTTTAGTAATGATTTTTGGTTTCAATTCCCAGTGAAGACAACAATGTTTTTTGATATTTGAGGTATAAAAGTTGATATTCTTTTGACATTGATGTAATATTTGGTGTTTCTCGAGTTTGGTTTGACTTACAATTTATATGATACAGTTCGTTATAGTCAATTTATTTATAAATATTTGTTAATAGTATCACACAAATTTTATTGCATTTCACTAATTTTTTTTTTCGTGTCCTTATTTTTTGGAAGAAGAAAGGGAAAAGTTAGGGATTTTGATTAAAGATGTTGAGTGAAAGGCACGTAAACAGCCTATTAATTTTTGAAAACTCTAACTTTAAAAAAAAATAAGAAATAATTTTGAGTTTTACATAGTTCCAATTAAAAATAATATCAATAAGTGAAATTTAATGAAGGCAATTTGAGGAACAGGAGTAAAACATGATTTTATCTTTATAGGACGATTCTATTTATTATACACTGACAGGCAAAATATTCCACCCACTTGATTTTTTCATGTTTTCATCTAAAAATATTTCTGTAAAGTTGTATTTGTATATAATACATGGTATTTGTAGATAATACTTAGTATTTATGGAATTTTATAATCTTTTTTACCTTTAATAATCAAAATGTGATTGGGTAAGAAAGATTAGAGAGGAAAAAATTGAAAAATGAACCATTATTATTCTAACAGAAATTAATTAAATCATTGTTTAGTTGCGCGTGTTTCCTCCTCTTGCCTTTACTACTTATTGAAGACGCCTCGGCAAACTTTCCACCAGTCGGGAAATGTCCCTTTGCTGGAGGATAGCCCATTCCTCCCGAAAAGCCCTTTCAAGGTCCTGCAGAGTATCAGGAAGTGTTGCACGTGCTCTTATTTGTCTTCTGAGGTTATCCCATAAATGCTCAATGGGGTTCAAATCTGGAGAACGTGCTGGCCAGGCTAAAACCTCAAATATTGTTCTGTTGAAGGAATGTCTGCACTATGCAGGTGACATGTGGGTGTGGATTATCGTACATTAGAATAGAACGATCGCCGATTTCGTTGAGGATAGGCAACACATGGGGTTCCAAAATCTCATCTACATAGCGAATGGCCGTCAAAGACCCTCCACGAACAACAACCAGTTCTGTGCTGCGCTCCATAGAAATCCCAGCCTACACCATTAAGGAACCACGTTGGAAAGGTTGGCTCTGGGAAAAATTACAGGCTGCACATCTTTCGGTTCTTCTTCTCCACACCAGCTGATGAATCGCTCGAACAACGGTAAGGTGCCGGTTTCATAAAATTCTCAAAGTCAAAAACCGGTCATCCCATGGTTCTGTTACCCTAGGCCATCCAGAACCGGGCCTTCTATTATAAGAACCACTTTCCCGAAAACGCCTGACGGCGTCTCGTAAAGTTTCATATGAAACTCCGATGGCATTAGCTGCATATAATGGAACGTCCATCATCAATAAGTGCCACACCACGCACAACATCCTCAGCACTAAGAGGCATTTTAAAACTTATATTGAAAAAATTAAAAGCTGGAGACTAAGAAATGTGCTGCAAGAAACGGCACTGAACTAATGATACTGAATAAACATTTTGATTCCACAGAAAGTAAACATTGGAATCTAGAATCATTTAATTGAATTAAGGATTAAGGGTTATTGTCCTCTATATTAACATTCTTAATTAAAAACAAACAAAAAGATTACCTATTTATTCATTAAAAACAATAGACCAATCCAAAGCAGAAATATTTTTAGATGAAAACAAGAAAAAATCAAGTGGGTGGAATTTTTTGCCTGTCAGTGTATTTTATGATAGTTTTTCTATAAGTCATCATACAGTTCAATCTAATCCAGTTGTTCACTATTCTGAAATGTTCAGTTATCTGTCTGAGCCAAGATAGATAATTTCATCAATTTTTTCAAAATACTAGGTTTCTATTGTGATCCTTTTCATCTAGATGACCTGACAGTGTGACAGTCCTGTTTTTTTTTTTCATTTCTGGAGCTAGTTTCCTTACTTGGACCTCAAGGGCCATAAAAGCATTTTACATTACCTAAAAGGATCTTCTCACAATATCACTAAAAGATCTTCCAATGATATCGATATATTCTGTATAAGCGAAGATCTGAACAGTTCAGATGAAGCCAGTTGTCTTTATACTGAATTTCCTTACCACCTTTCCCAGTGCCGGATTATAGAGAAAGTATGCTAAGGCACCAATGTTTCTGATAATCTGTAGATAAACAATATGATGTTAAGATGTCATCGTCATTTGTATGAGGAGCATCAACTTTCATGGGATGGGATGTTCAGCTCTTTCATAATCTTGTATAGCCTCAATCTATTGAAACTATCATAAGCTGTTTTAAAATCCACAAACAGGTATGTTCAACTTCCTAAAGACTTTGTTTAAGGCTCTTTTTCCTTCTTAAACACCACCATGATAATGGCCAAGCTCCTCTCACTCTGTATAGCCTCTTTTTCAGACTCTGAAAATAAAAATTTAAAAATAGTCCTTAGTAAGAATACTAAATTGGCAATTTTTTTATATGTCTATAATTTTTACAAATGACTGAAAAACTAAAGAAAAAACAGAATTCCTTTAAGTCAGCAAGCACCTGACTAATTATTTATACATTTCTAAATGAGGGTCTTTTGACTTTCAGACTGACTCAGCAGTAAATGATGATCGGGAAATGGACGGAGGAAACGATCAAAAGAACGGAGATGATGGAGGTGACGGAGACGTCGGAGGCGATGGAGATGCTGAATAAGAACTGTTTTTACATTTTATAATGCTGTTTAAATTACACTGCAATAATGATATATATTTATGCTATGAAAAGAAGTGCATTATTATAAAGACACACTGAACTATATTGTTTATTTTATCATATTATATATTTTATTTATAATTCAATTTTATACATTTATTAATTGTGATATGATTGCTGTAAGGTAAAGGCAATGCAATAGAAATAGTATGCTCTCCATAATCCGGCAGGTATTAAACCAAACTAAAAAAACAAGTATTTTGAAAATCGATTAAAAAAAATTTCAACATAATATTTAAATTTGTTTCTTTAATTAATTAAAGAATTTAATACATAAAAAGTTTTAAAATTAACTGTGCAAAATATATTTATTATTTATTTTACTAAAGAAAATAATTTTTTTTTCTTCTAATTTTATACCACTTGAGAAAATAAAGCTGGATTACAAAGAGTGTACTGTATTCAATTTTTATATCCATAAGAAGTGCTCTAGCTAATTTGGAACTGATTGATTCAGTTGATCTGTATTCTTTGTTTTTGTTTTGTTTTTTTTGATTTATTTTAAAAGTATGGTACTCAGTATTATGTATTTTCTGGTAAATCAGGAATCCTGTTTTATTCTTCTTTAAGGATTGTTTTTCTTGTTATGAATTTTTCAATCTGTTTTATGTGGTTTGTATTGATTCATAAAACAGAATAATTATTTAGATGTTAACGTAAACATTTGTGAAGATAATTACAATTTTTAGAACAGTACAAAAACGAAAGTATTGATTATATTTATTAACATTAGTATCTGCCTAGATTGAATTAAAAAAAAGAAATGAATAATTTTTGGTAAAGTCCAATTTAATATTTTTTTTTAGAAAGGTATTTAATATATGGCTTATTTAAATAGATTTTTCAGTTATTAAGAGGTGTTAGCAAAGTTTATTTTATTTTTTGCTTTGATATTACCTTTCTAAAAAAATGACTGATTCATTTAGGCTACGTCTTTACATAAATTACCATTTGTGTCGTTCTAGTGAAAATTGTATAAAGAGCTTTTTTTTATTGTTAGTGATCCATAAATTTATCTGTATAGTTTCATCGACGTGATTGAGATCCTTATGGAAATAGACTTAGACAATTAAAGTTTGCCATGACACTAAGTCTGCTCTTAACATTATTGTGAACTATACTTTCAAATAACACCATCATCGAGCTTTGTATATAAGCTAACTCATAATATTTTTAAGCTATTGCTTTTCTTTACACAAAATTATTTCATTTTATCTATTTTTTTAATATATAATAAATTATATGTTATAGTTAATTTGTCTGTTTATTTTTCTCCATCGCCCTTTCAACATTGCTTTTATTTTTGTTACATTGATATTAATAAGCTTTATTGACTTTGATTGATTTGACAATAGCCTCACCCTTGGGAAGGAATTTTAATGAATTTGGCTACAGCTCAAAAGAATAAGTTCAAATTATCACGTCTTTTATTTAAATAACAATGTAAGGCATAAGAAAAAATAAAAACTGTATTGTTCATAACTTGTTTCCATCTGCTTCTATTCCTTCATAGCCATAGGCTATCAGTTATCGCCCACATGTGTCATTTCGTCCCTCCACCTAAGATGCGGCCGACTCATTTTTTTGTTGTTCTCTCTTGAGACTCACTCGGTGCCTGCCTTGGACCATCTTTCATCTTTCAAACTCCTTAAAAGCAAGCCTCATCTGCATAATATTCAATCTGAGTTCAATTCTTCTTGTTTTTGTCCAAGTTTGTGCTTCATAAAGAATCGTAGGTTATACATGTAGTCAAAATTTTGGCTTTTAGGTCTGTCTCTAAATTGCTTTTAAAAACTCTTTTGAGAGACCAATATTTGGACCATCCAAGCTTTATTTTTTTTTGTCGATTTCTTTATTCATTTTTTTAGTTTAATACTATCATATATCCTAAATATGTTTTTAAATATTTTATATGCTGGTTGTGTACTTAGATTGGAATTTCAATGGAATTAGCCATTTTAGTTTTTCTTGTATTTATATTCAGTCCATATATTTTACTGGTTTCTACTAATTCTTCTGAGGTCACTGATGTTCGGTGATATTAAACATATTTCATCAGTAAATCTGAAGTTGCTTAGTATTTCACTCCTCGTTCAACCTCAAAATTATCATCTTCCCTTATCTAAAGCTATAAATGCCTTTCCATTCCTATATAATTTAATGATCACATCAATTTAGTTTATCTACACCACATTCATTTAGAGCTTCCCAAATATATTTATGCTTAATCGAATCAAATATCTTTCTTTATGATGTGATAAATACATTGAAATTGTATTGCAACAAAGGTCGAAAGCCATAGTCCATAGTCTGTACCCTATACCATAGTCTTGGTAAATAATGTTTATAATCATGTTTTGTATTTTATTACAAAAAAGTTCATCTAATATATATAGAAAAAAAAACTTTATTCTGGGACTAACTCCCTTAAGAATAACAATAATGTACAAAATAATAGAATATTACTGGCCTAAACGTTTGAAACAATAAATAAAATTGATAAAATAAAAAGTAATGAAAACCTTAGGTGCACAAGCTATATACAATACAGAAAGAACTATGTACAGAGCATTTAAAATTATGAACAAAACAATTAAAACTATGAACGAATCACTTGAACTATGAACAAAATTATATATAAGAGTTGAACAACATAAACTTACACTTTGAGAAATGAAGAACGAAAAAGAGATACAATGAGTTCATTTCATAAAATAAAACTTTACTTGAATATATATATAAAAATAAACAGTTAATTATAATTAATAAAAAATAAAAAAATGTATGTATTGAAATTCCTACGTCGATAGTAGGAAATGCATGTACTATCTCTTACCAAGTATTATGATTATATGATTGCTACACAATACATATATAATATTAATAGTTAGCTGGTATCTGACTGTTTTTGGAACAGGAATTGGAATAGGAGGTTTTTGAATGTGTATAGGGAAGGGCATGTCGAATTTTGATCGGGAGGGAATTCCAACAGTTGGTGTCTTGTAATGTATGGTGTCTTCAAGGAATATATAAGCCCTTATACTTTCAAAAAAATTTTATTTTACTTCCGACGACGTTTCGAGCTGATTAGCTCATTATCAAGTCATCAAAAATATTTTTTTTATATACTTTAATGTATGTAAATGGGGCTATGCATCAACAAAAGTAAAACCAAGGTCCTTGTTTTGAGGAAGAAAAATCTTGTACATCCACCACAGCACTATGTCTTGAGATACCATATTTTTCAAGCTGTATCAAGCTTCACCTAACTCGGGTCAATAATTAACAATTGCAATAACGAAGAGGAGATAGGAGCTAGAATGATGGCTGCCAACAGAGCGTACTTTTCTCTAGCGAGCCTTCTGAAAAGTTAGCCTTTTTAAGATAAGATATCCAAGAAGAAAATAGTTTTATTATTACCTAATTTAATGAATCTATCGCTACGTTCCTGGCTATTAGCTTTTCTAAGTCAGCTTGGGGGTTCCAGATACAGAATTTATGTGTATTTAATTTAACTATACTTTTTTTCTATTTATATCGGTTCCAGAAGAGAACTGAACTATTTAATTATATACTAAATATGAATCTAAAAGACAGACCTCCCCCCTTCTGTGATGTCTTAGATAGATTTATAATTCTAAATTCTAAAGAAATTGAAATAGTTGATTTATAATTTGATATATTAGGTAGTTGAATCTTTTCGAAGGGTATCCTGTTACCAATTTACTATTTGTATCTATATATCTAAATGATGACATGCCTACCTAACTAACTTTCTTATTCCCATTCAAAAATATTATTATTTATTTTTTCCTTTGTTCCTATCTAGACTTTTTCTTATTGGCTGTTTTTTTTTTGTTTTTTTTTGTAGGACGGGATCACCCTTTCTACTCTACCTCTAATTTTATCAAATATGGGAAGGGGTTTGAGGTTCTTTTCATCTTTGAAATAGTTCAAGTTTTTATCTTCATTACAACCTGAATGGATTGCTGGCCCAAAACTATATCTATCCAAAAGATAAGGGCAGGTACCAAACCTCTGTCTCCAAGCACCCAATCCACCTGTACTATTAAAACTTTTCTACCCTTGACTAACTCTACTTATTGTTATATTTATGAGATAAAATTTAAGTTTATGGAATTGATTTTAATTTACACATCAGTTATCATCGATACGTAGCACTATCATAAGAGAAATGAGCAGTTTTTTCCTCTCGACAAACTCATGTATGAACTGCTCATTTCTTGATATATCTTTAATACAGTTTGAATTTCAATTCAATTTTTTATAAATCTGTTTTTTATTATTATCTTTTTGGTTTTAAATAAAAATAACCATCCGAGCTGTCAAGTTCTGACACGGTGACTGTATACATGATCACAGTGTAGATAGAATTAGGAATGGTCATCGATAGTCGATAATATCAAAATATCCATATTTTTCTTAAGATATTCGATGTTTTGCCATCGATGGCATCTAATTATCAGGAACGATATTATAATATTTTAATTTTGAAATAAAAATTAAAACTATCGTTTTTGGAAAGTTCTTGGGATTGAATATGAATATGATCTTTAGAAAAAAAAATAAAAAAAAATAGGATCAAATAGATAGGACCTGAACTAAAATTCATTTATTTGGAACATAGATAACTTTATTGTGAGTGATTTCTGAATGTAAACTCAACTTTCCCAAGAACTTTTTCTAACAAAGGCTATGATTTTTCAAAGATATCTATGAGGAATGCAAATAAATTAGCATTTCACAGAATCTGATCCATGGTTGAATGGAAGGCATAATTAATTGAATGGAAATTTATGAAAAAAAAATTGGGGATGAAGAAGGTGGACAGGAATCTGGAAATTAATTTTACTGAGGGAGATAGGAGAATTGATATTTCTAATTATTAATTTAAAGAGGGAAATAATATATTTTTTGTTGCGCCTATGTGCTATACAATCAACACTTATATTGATATTCATATTTCAAATTTACTGTTTAATCTTGATTGAAATAACGACTATCGATGGTATCAATATTTGAAGTCCTATAATTTGGTGGTATCTATAGGTATAGGCCTAATTTCTAAATGACTGTTTTTTCTTCAAAAATATTTATAATATCGATAAAAATATTGACTCTCAGTAGTTATAGGCTAATATTTCTATTAATGACAATATTGATATTGGGCTTTCGATATATTGATAGATGGAACACCAAAACGTTTTTCATTTTTGAGCAATGAAAATACCACTCAATGACAATTCATTTTCATATCAATATCATTAGTTATTAGAACCATTATTAATTTAATTAGATCACAAGGGGACTTTAATGACATCAAGGGTCGCAGAGCCTTAGGAACTCCAGATTTTTTGCTCACCGGAAGGGAATAAATTATGATGTCATTGTCCGATGGTGCCAAATGTCTAAAACCGGCACTGTTTATAGGAATACAAATGTTTCTCTAATATCGCTTATATTTAGAATGGATTAGAGAGAAGACATACTCGAAATGCATGAGTTATACTAGTATTTAAAAATGCATGGGAGTTATTACAGCTTTGAGATCTTAAAATTTTTGTATATCTAAAGTGGACATTTCATATAGTTCAAGAGCTGTTTTATAGTAGGTTCTGAATTGGTTCAATGAAAATTAAAATTTAAAAGGAAATTGCTACACATCATCTTGCTGTCCTTTGTCTTCTTCAATTGGTACTTTGTAAATTTTATTATTTTTCAGTTGTGCTAAGAAGATATATTTGGTGATGCTATTATAAATAAAAAGTCATAATGATGGAACGATAAATAAGAAACAAACTATTTTTTTTTTAAAGAATATACATGTATTTATTAAAATAACTATATATATGAAAACTATATATAGCCGTTATCACAAATGTTTTGTACAAAGTGGTTTCTCATTGATCTTGCTGCATGAAGGTCTTCAGTGGTAGTAGTGTCCTGAAGGATGGACGGCGTGTCCTGCCTTGGATACGACGGCGTTGAAGCCGTTGTGATCATCGGCGGTGTAAGAGACTGTCCTGATGGTGCCATCGGGTTCGACCAGGCTGTACTGTCCTTTGACCACGTCACCGTCTCTCTCTTCCCATTGGTTCTTCACGTCTCCTGTGTAGCCGTCCTTTACGCCGTAATCGTAGGCGTACTTGGGATGTGCCTAAGTCGCAATACAGCAATTAGATTAGAAGGACATTCACGTATATTTTAATATTCAATTGGAATAAATATATGTTGTTTATTAATTCAAATTACATGGTCTGGCCTTCATCGCACAATCTTCATTGTGTGATAAAGTTTACATTTATAATTAAATATTAAAATATTCGGTTTCTAAAAGACTTCTGTAAGAGTAGAAAGAAGAACGATGATCTCGGCCAAACCACGTCCATGCACACAACCGTTGATCAAAAGCACTAGCGGATCCAGGATTTATTTTGGGGGGGGAGGGGCTTCAGCCCGAAAGGTTTTTTTTTCATAAAAATAACGATAATTACTTTGGAAAAAAAAAGAAACTAACTACCTGTATGAAATGGTGTTTAAGTTATTCCTAAAGCCCTTTTAAATGTAATCACACGAATAATAATACTTTAAGAGATACTTTTTTAATATTTTTTTCGATAAAACATGGTTATATTTTACCATTTGGGGGGGGGGGGGCTTCAGCCTGAAAGTCCCCCCCGTAGATCCGCCCGTGATCAAAAGCAGTACTTCTTTACTAAGTATTGAACCCAAGTCACTCCGTGGATCGTTGTGGTATAGATTATTTTTTTAAACCAAGCATTAATTTGTGTGAAAATATTTTTTTTTCAAGTATATCTAACGCTCAAAAAATTCTTTTTAATTTTCATTTCCTATTGAACTATTCAGCCCGAAAGCTTTATTTTTTTTTTAATATAATGATTATTATTTTAGAAGAAAAAGAAAGAAACTAACTACCCATACAACATGGCGTTTAAATGATTCTTGAATATTTTTTCTTAAGATGTGGTAATATTTTGACCATTTTGGAGGGAGAGGCAAGTGGATTCAGCCCGAAAGCCCTTCCTCCCCAATAGATCCGCCTGTGCAAGAGTATAAACTATATATATATATGAAAATAATGAAACGTTAAAAGTCCATAGCGAATCTTAATACCAAGAGATTGGAGTAATGATGAAAGTACTATATCTCATTGGACAGTATAAGTTTGAAAGAATGCAATTCTTCATAGCAACATAGCTGAATCACAAAATGCTCAGAGAAAGAAATTTAAAGACGAATCTTCTCAGTATCGAACCTATTTCTTCTTCGAAGAAAAACATTTAAGAAGCGGTGTTCAAGGGCTTGAAGGAAAGGATATATGAAACAATCATTCGGCCAATACTTACATATATTTCAGAATGTTGGATTACCTCTAAAGTCTAAGAGTCCTCCTCTGGTTAGAAAATTAAGTTCTCCTGATAAACGGTGGATTATGCGAGCAAGTAATCTGGAGGAAAAGGGTGATTCCCGAATTATTTTAAGAATATAGAGAACTGTATGTATCTTCGTTTATAAAAAGTTCAAAAGTTTACTGATGTTGGTCATGTTGCAAGAATGAATTCGAGAGAAATAGTTTCCAGGATACTATCAGAACAAATATATGTTAACAGGCGAGTTGGATGTCCGAGAATAACTGCGAGATCTGTAAACGCAAGATCACTGCTTGAGGTCAGAAAGTGGAAAGCGGCAGACCAGAATAAAAAAATGTGATTCTTTATAATAGAACAAAATATGACATAAAACGGGTCGCAACGCCGAATAGTAGTTGTATAAATATTGACTCTAATTACACTGATGTATGTATTGTATGAATGAGAACTTTTAGCCCTAATACTTATAACCCTCCAGCTGATTGAATTATTATTCAATAAATTAAAAAAAAAAAAATACACTGAAATGACTTACGTAGTAGTCGACTGCTCCATGTCCTGCGTATCCAAGTCCAGCTGCTGCTCCGTAACCTAAGCCTCCGTGGAGTCCTCCAAGAGCACCGCCGTAGTAACCTCCAGCGTGGCCGAGGTAACCGGCTGCGGCGAGTCCCATCAGGGAGAAGAGGATTGAGACCTGTCGGAACAATTGAATAATTTAGAAATATTTTCTTAACAGTTCCATATAACAGTATAGGGGAAGAGTGCTAATAGAGAACTACTGTTTGTTTTTAATTATCCACTGATAGAATAAAAATCTAAAATAAAATTTTCAAAAGAAATTCCGTTTAGTTTACATAAAAAAATTTCTATTAAACAATAATATTCAAAGTATTTTTTTTTTCAACTTTATTTTTCCACTCACACCTGTCAAAAATACTGACTACTAGTGAGCCTCCTGTCGGGAAGAATAATAGAACCATTGGTTGATGAGAGGGTGGTGGTAACAACTAAACAAACAATTCATAGTGTTCCACATCAATATTACTTCCTAGTAATTAGAAAATGGAATTTTGAAAATTTATGTAATCTATTTCAATAAAGTGAGATAGATACCGTGTCAATACTACGTTGATCCATTTAAGTTCCTCTTGATAGAAATACGTGACTAGAGTTAGCAGTATTACTCACTTTTGACATCAATTTCGATTCTTGTGATTATTAAAATCGAAAAAAAAAAAAAACTGGCCTACAAAAATATTGAGGCGTTTGGTCTATATACCTCGTTATTTTAACTTTTTCGGAGTGGAGGTCACGCCAAACAGATCAATATTTGTGTAGGCTACTTGTTTTTCGACTTTGTGATCATATTATCTTACGATTCAGGTGCAAAGCAAATGGGTATTCATCGGTTTATGGAACCTAATTAAATAGACAAAGTTTACAGATCTCCAGATTGAAAACGCCCTAATTACGAGATTTTTTCTAAATAAACTATTTACAGATTACGACGAGATGTTAATAATTTGATAAAAAGTGGTCTGTACCACGGACTAATAATTGATTACTTGAAAAATAATTAAATTCATTCTATAAGTTTATGTGTCTAGAGACTTTAATGTTGGGTCAAGCTGTATTCCCATTAATTGAAGTTTCCCAGATCATTTGAACGTTACGAAAGCCTCTTGCCTTTAATATTGTATTGCAAAATCAGCACATATTTCAGGTAGAATAAAATTTTAATTGTACTGTGATATAAAAATGAAATAGGTTCTCTCGATGAGTTACTAATTCGTTTTAAAAATAATTATTTTTTAAAAGATTATTTTATAAATTTATGTAATTAAAGAATTTTGTAAATAAATTAGAAATAATTTAAATTTCATCAGAATTACAATTTTTCGTTTGAAACTGTGTAAATTTGCTCTTATGTTTTACATTTTAGTCTCTGTCCTTTCCTAGAATATTTGTGTTGTATTTTTTTATCTTAAAAAGGATCCTTATTTATTAACATTATTTGTGAATAACTCAAAAGTTTTCTTAACTGTACCCATGATAATTTGAAAAATTACTAAATTACCTACAAAACAAAAAAATAATCGTCCACAGTCCATTAGTTTTGGTATACTTAATAATGTCTTCCTGTTTAAAGATATTGCATTTAGGAGTAGAATAGTCTATTACATTTTTTCCCTAAATTTTATATTAACTTTATTATTTCTTAAAGACATTTGGGATATTATTTTGTCTTTATTACTTTTATTATCTTTTCAGTCAGCGTTTAAAAATAGGTCCTAGCAAAGCAATTCGTATAAATATTTTGATCATTATATTAAATGCAATATTGTAATCGACAAAGGAAAAATTATTAATTCCTTCCTTACATAATACATAGGAACTACTTATTTTCATATTGTTTTGCTATTTCATCACTAAACAAAATTTTCTGCTAATTTTTCACACGGGCCAACTAGTTAGATCATAAATAAGATTATCATAAATATCAATAGTTTAATTTTTAAAACCTAAGCATGTTAAAAATAACCTATGACAACTAAAACACCTAGGAGGCTTTCGACAGTAATTATGGAATATCTCAAATACGATAAATTTTAGGTCTTTGCAACACAATATCCAGTATATTTTCTATGGAATTTGATGTTCGCATTGAAATAACTTTTATTCAAGTTGTTGAAGGAATTTAAGGTTCAAATCGAGATCCGCCACTTCTACATGAAATTGTAGGAACCTCATTCATCAAAATCTTTCGCTCCTGAGAATAGGAAAAGAGATCTACAAAACTGTATTGTATAGTGTAGATGGTTTTTGGTATTACATAGTCTAGTAGTGCCATCAAAATGTTTGAGGGAGGCAGATTTTGAGGGGGTTTTAAATTTTTGTAGGAGTCACATTTCGACAGGGTAATGAATTTTCGGAGTGAAAAGTTTCAAATAAGGGAACAAAAAGAAGAACATAGACCATATCACAAGTTTAATTGTACATAATCTACGATTTTCTAATTCTACTTCCGTCTGGACAGTTTTCAAGAAGAGGACAGCAATAAAATTTATCGGGGGGGGGGATGGGTGATGTTCATGTGCTATCTACCTTTGAACGTATGGTGTACCAAAAAAAAAAAAAAAAAAATCGAAACTATTGTGAGCTAAACAATATAAATAGGGTAAGTAAACTGTATGATACCATATTACTGAATAAATACTTTGTTTGCTGATTTTCGAACTAAATTCTTATTTTTTTCCAGTATTTCTAGAATAATGCTGATTTTAGCTCCTATATAATCAACGAAGTTTACACGTAACCAAAATTTACCATTGCCAGATTTCCTTCTGTTGACGGAAGCACTCGAAAGAGCACGAGTCCATCGGCCTATACCGGTTCCTGAAGTTGACGGGGTCCGACCGCAAGGTCACCCGGCCTGCAGGTTCACGGTATCTACCTCTGCTACCTTGATCTTGACCCGTTTTTTTATTCTTCTTGACAAGGAACCTGTCCATCACGCAGGGTTACCAACCGAATCGACATTACTTGCTAGTTCACGCTTCGAGTTCTTCTAATCGTTCATCCGATTCGTACCAAGTTCCTCTTGCTGTATTAGAAATGAAAACATCGCTTCTAGAATCTATTGTTCGAGTGAATGGTACGGTCCCATTACCTTCAGTCTAGTGCTATGGGAAAATAATGAGAAATAAATTGTGTGAAACTTCATAATATAATTCCAATGCCGCGAGAGATCACTTGAGCAATGTAAAGCAATATCTTTTTTTTTTTTTTTTATAAGTAGCTCTGTTTGTCTTGGTATAAAGACAATGAAAAAAAAAATCAAAATCTTTAGTTGCTTCTAATTTTTTTTTAAAATTAGATTTAGGTCTACATTTTATGAAGAAAGGAGATGGGTGAGTGAGTAAAGAATAAGTAGAAAAGAGTGAAGCTAAAATTTACCGAGGTAAGTTGTTCTGTGTGAGATAGTTCCAAAACGAAAAGAAAGAAATATAAATCTTATAGTACAACTTAATTCGTATACATCCTGTGATTTTTATAATACTATTTATAATTCAAACTGTGTTATATGTTCCTAGTTATAAAGACTGATTAGCTACATCAGCTGTTAATTCAAAGTGAGATAATTTATAACCCGAAAGTACAACTTAGAGAAGTGAAGTAATTATAAGTGATTACTATTAGATGTTAATACACCAAAAAATATATATATATATTCTATTTCATGATTTTTCTAAAATTATCAAACTTTTTTTATTGAAGTATTTTTAAAATAATTTTGATTAGTCTTTAAATAAATGAGTATATATTCAATTTTTTTTTCTTTTAATTTTTCCACTTTTTCTTAGTTTAATCATTTATTTTTATTTCCATATTATATGTTATGAATAAATATAATATAATATTATAAAATATAATAAATATAATATGTTATGAATGAACACATTTAGCATTGTTACTTGTTACCCTTCATTGTTGCAGATTGTACTATTTACTGTTCAATGAAAGAAAAAAATACAGTAATATCTCTATAGTAATACGCTAATAGATAACTGCAAGACTGTTGCGAGACTCTTGCGCAACACCAGGGTCTTGGTCTCGCATTTGTGCAACACTAACTATAACTAATTAGAGAAAAAATAACTGTTTACTGCATATTCCATATCAACGGTATCAATAACATTAACCATAGTTAGCACATTACCTATATTAAACTTTAATTTAAGCTTGTAGTAAATCAAATAACTAAGCCGAAATGTGTCATACATATAAATTAATTTTTATCTATAGTGCCTTTCATAGATTTTATTAAGGCTAGAAAAACGAAAATACGTCGTGAGAATCGAATGAATTTCTAGACAGATTGCATTCCTTCCTTTTTTCTTAAATGCTATCACCGAATCCTTCGGTGAATTCGTGAACTAGAACGCATTGATGAGGACTGGTACAAATCCAAGGATTTGGAACTAGAGCATCTGAGGGGCAATTACCTCTGCCACGGATTGGAAATCGTCCCACGGACAATCTTGGTCCTGAAACCGTTGTTTTAAAAATACATTTAATTTTTTTTTTTAATTTTTAGGTTTACGATACCTAAAATGGAATCAGGCATAATGTGTAGATGCCACTGTTTAAGATCTACAAATAATGCTCAAAAGGCTGAATATTACATTTTAAAAGTCTATTATCTATCTATATTTTTCTCTTTTTTTTTTTAATGAATCTAAGAAGACTCAGGCAAGTTATTAATATTTTTTATGAATTAAAAACCACACTATTTATCCTTTCAATTTTTTAATCAATAAATTATATTTTGTCATTTTAAACTTCGTTTCAATATGAATTTTGTTTGCTTCCTTCAGTACTGTTAAAGTTGGAAAAGCTTTATATGTGTAAATATATCTTTCTGAATCGCATTTTTCATTCGTGGTTGCTTTTAAACATCTTGGAAATAAATTCGTGTATGCTGTCCAACGAAATAACGGGCATAACGCCCTAGGTACTATTAATGACGCGATTTTGATGAATTAGTGATTTTTCGGGTTGGTTCCTAGCAATAAAAAAAAAATTGGAAAAATTATGTTATCAACGAAGTTAACAAGTATCGAAATTAAAAATTATACTGGATGCATTTCAATCTAATATTATTAACTTATTATAGACTTGGAGTTTTGATATAGTTATTTAACGACCTCTTTATGTTTTCTCTCTCTCTCTTGGGGTCATGACATATATATTTAAATTAGGTCACGTTGTTAGTAAGCCTTTGTTTAAAGTAAACATCCCAGCAGTTAAATATTATTGTATAAAAAAAAAAAAAATGGCAAAATTTACGAAAGTTATGTCCCTCATAAGAGAACCAACGTTTCCTTTTAAAGCCCTACGGCGCCTTTTTCGGTTACGAATGAGACCTGCCCGTCAAAGTCAAGACGTTCCTGAATAACATGCGAGAAATCTTTCGACTTTCGACGGACAAAGATATTTCACTACATGACTGTGCTAATAGGATGAAAGTTGAAGAACGTCTTCGTCAAATCATCTTCAGTGTTGATGGTTCCAAACGTAAACGTTGATGACAAAAATTTTTGAAAGTCGATTCGTCAATGGAACTGCCGATTTAAGAAATTTCCCAAATTGCAGGATGATATGGATTATTATACAAAAGTTATATCAAAATAACGAAAAGTAATGCTTACTTTCTTTGTGTCATTAGGTTTAGAAACGATGATAAATTCACAAAAACCTTTCAATTTTTTTTTAGAAATTTAATCAAGCTGTGCCCAGCTGTTTTACCGGCGTTAAATATACATTATGTGTGCATGCTACAGGTAGTATGAAAAAACACGGACTTCACAGAAAGCATCCTCAGGTTTATAGTTTTATTATAACAAATTTTTATACAACTACTTTAAATTTCAAACAATTTAAAAAAAAACTTCTAGTATTTCACCGTAAACGTTATTTTTCTCTCTGTAATATAAGTATATAATGGTTTTGGTTTATTCAAACAAATAAGTTTTCAGGTGTATATATCGGTAAAGATTATTTTTTAATTTTATTTTTCAGTTTAGGAAATCAACTGATTTAAAAACAGAAAATTGAAACGTTGATCTTAAAAAAGTAACGGGTTGGATCACGAACGAATTCCCAAAGTGTCGATCGAAACCTTGAAAAAAGGATCTCTTACAGTAAAATCTTGAAATTTTTTGTATTGATGTAGCCTAGAAGAAGAAATTACAAATATTATTGGTATTATTGGGACCGACTTTCTAGAATTGAAAAGTCTCTATATTGTTAAGGCAGGTACAGATAATAAAACATATATGACTTGTCTGATTTACCAACTATAAAATATGGGATGAATGTATTGATAAATAATTTAAGATTTAAAAAAAAATAATATATACCAAAAGTTCTAGTGTTGCAATGTTGATGGTCTGGAATTAGAGTATTAACGTAGATGAGTCAATAAAGAACTGCTTATAGAAAATGGTGAGTCTAACTTGCACGGTATGAAGGCAAGGAGGTTAAGATGGGTAGCATATATGTAGCTCGAAGCAATCTATGCGGAAGCCTCTACACTTCGATGCACACATGTATTTAGGAAGAGGTAACTAGGGAAGTCAAGAATTATATGGATAGATAGAATCAAGAAATATGCTACCAAGATAGATGCAGCAACATAAAAGAAGTTCAAGATAGACAGAGACATCAACAATCTAAAGGTTCTGTACAGTTAACAGAAAAAAAATCTATCCGTTTATAGTAACAGGACAGATACAATTTTCGTATTTTAATCTTCATCATATATTCAACGATAATTATCAACAAAATATCGCATATCAAATGATAATTTTTTTTTAAAAAAGTACTGCAAACACAATATTATAATGTAAAAATTATAAAATTTTAAATATTGGTTAGAAAAATGAACGAAGTTCAAATCTGGTCGAAGTGAAATCACAACAAGTCGTGCGGGTCAGGATTCCACTTTTAAGGCGTTAGATATTTTATTACTCCTACAATCTTGTTTATTTACTGTACTGTATACAATATTACAGTAATGTATATTTCGTGGAAATAAGATAGTTCTGGCCTGTTTGAAATCAGGGGTCAGAAGGCGGTACAGAAGTTCGTGTAATAAAATGTAAATATGGATTTTTTTCTTTTAATGTATATTTATTTTTTAAAAATTAGTACCGTGAAATGCGATTTTTAAAATTTATTTATTGATGTTATCACGTATTTTAACAATAGATATTGAAATTTTAAGATTATTTAAAAATTAAAATATTATATAATTACTTATAGCGGCGTTAAAAATATTTTATTGATTTTGTTAGAAAAAACAAAACAAAAATAAGCTAAAAGAGTGATTTAGTTTCTGATTAGTAATTCTCTACTATTTTTTTTAATCAAAATAATGCAGTAATGATATTTCCAAAGGTGTTTTCAAAAATTTGAAAATACTTTTTGTTTGGATCGAATATTTTTGTAACAAATATTTCTGCGGCGGTTGAGCTCTTATCCGATCTTGCCATTTATCTGTTCATTTAAAAAAAGAATAATTTTGAGGAAAAAAAATCACTGAACAGGCAATATACAAATTGTATAAAGCCTTAAAAATAAAAGGTTTCCACGTATTAAAATAAATAATTTTCTACCACATTCATGAAAAAAATATATAAAATAAAATAAAAATTCCGTGATTTTATACAACCCGTAGTAATGAATGATAGTTTTTTTTCTTTCCATATATTAAAAATTAAATTTAAATGGAAATAAGTTTAGAAAGACCTAGAATGGAAATAAAAATTTATTTTTAAAATGTTTTAAATAATTTTAGTTTCGCCCATTGATTAATGACTAATACGCATCCTTTTCTGACTATTGTCTTTTCGTGTCTTTGATTTTTAATATGCCTTTTCCATCTTATAGTTGCAAAAGAAAAATTAAAAAAATATATCTCCTTGTTAATATAATTATAATTCCCTATACATAAAACTTGTTTATTTTCGAATACCTTGGCTCAGCGCTCACTAAAGATGGAACTTACCTTTGGAATGGTGATCATGTTGCTGACTGTTGCTGAGACGCTGAAGTCGATGATCGCTGAGCCGCCGCAGAAGGTATATATAGCTGGCACCTCTCACCAACAAGGACGGAGCCCCCCTCCGCCCTCGTAAACATCGCCCGGTTGCTACAACACGAATTATATAAATTATACGATATCATTGTTTCAAGAAATTATCCGGATCGTGGAGAGAATCAAAATGTCCAATCGATAGTAGGAAATATCGAAATATGAAATATGAGTTCGTAATGTGAGCTAGTTTCTTATTGATATTACAATTCAAACATTTTTTGGACATGGAGAAGTATAGTAACATCATCTGTTCTTTGCCTGGATTAAGTCAAACTGATTAGTTGAGGAAGGAGATCTCTTATCCAGCGCATTTTTAGTCCCCTGGTATTGACGTGCATACGGTAGTAACACACGGTGCTAAACCCATTTTTATAAATTTATGGAAATCAGCTTAAAACCTCCTGAACTGTTCCATATTATCATAACTTAGAACTTTTGTATTTACTAATGTTCTGACTAATGGGGTGTTTTTTCGTAAAATTAGTTAATTTATTGGTTATTTGGCAATAATTACTTCCAATTACTTACAATTTAATATATTTCTTATATTATCAACGTTACATGTTAACAAGTTGAAGTTTCGGGATATTTACTCCCCTCCCATCTTCAGAACTACAATCCCAATAATCTTGTAAATGCAAAGCTATAAAAGTCAAAATATACTGCATGTTACATTACATGTTAGAATTTTATTGTTACAATAAATTTTTAATCACCTTAAAAATAATAATAATGTGCTCCACCGTCAAATTTCTAATTCATGTTATAAAATATATTATCTAGAGCAACATCTTGCTTTAGACCAATAATTGGGTGTCTGCCACAGTGAAATACAATTGATCTTTGGATCTGACTATTTTAATACTATTGTTGTTAATGTTTATTTTATGTATCTGCAATTTTACTTCTATTAAATTTTAATTTTGTTTAATATGTCCGTATAATGAGTTCCTAAGTGTTTAGTGTCTGTTTTATAATTGATTGTTTTCTATTGTTTTTTGTGATGTGTATTGCTTCAAGTAATTTCCTATTGGTGTATTAATTAATTTAGTAATGTACTCAGGAATATCCATTTGATTTCCACTTGAATCGTAAGACAATTTGATCACAAAATCCAAAAAAAATTTGACCTACAATTATACTGGACCGTGTTCAATCGACGCCTATATCTATCCAACAAAAAAATGAAAAACCAATTAAGTAGCAACGAAAAAATATTTTATAACAATTCAGCGAAAGCTGAAATTATAGGTTAGGTAAATTCAGTCTATATTGCACGTGTTTTCTATTACTTCAATTAAATTCATCAACTTTAAATTTATTTTAAATCCGTGAAAATCTGGCTCTGGATAGCTTAGATCTGGAGCTGATGAATTTGTAAGCATGAATGGTCAGAATGTGTAGTCAAAAAAATTTGTTTATTGGGTTTGCCAACGATTCATAAAACATAATTTTTTTACTGAAGCTACATCCTGACTATTTTTCATCCTTCCTTTTTAATTTTCTAAACATATAATGCGTGACACTGACCTATATTAAGATCTGGTCATAATAGTTATTGTCATGGTTAGCTCCATGCTACAGGTAATAAGAAACATAAACAAATGTTAATTCCAAAGGAGGCAGCGTGTGGCAACTATCTTTTATAGTCCGTGGTACAGACCCCTTTTTAGCAAATTATTAACATCCGGCTGAAACTTCGTATATAGCTTCATTTCGTCGTAAGCTATATATTTTATTTATCGTAGTAATATTTTATTTACGAAAATTCTTGGAATTGGGGCGTTTTCAATCTATAGGTCGGCAAACTTTATCTATTTAATTAGGTACTAAACAATCTTAAATATCCATTTGCTTTCCACTTAAGATAACTTGGACACACAAAGTTGGAGAAAAGGTGGCATTGAAAAATATTTAGCCGTTTGGCGTGACCTACACCCCCAAATTGCCAAAATAGCAAGATTGTGTAGGCCAAACGAACCAATATTTTTGTAGGACACTTGTGATAAAATTATCTTACGATCCAAGTGGAAAGCAAATTGGTATTTACGAGTTTTTAGTACCTAATTAAATAGATAATGTTTGTGGACCTCCAGATTTAAAACGCCCCAATTACGAGAATTTTCGTAAATAAAATATTTGTAGGTTACGATGAGACAAAGCTATAAACTTCCCATTAATTACTAACAAGGGGTCTGTAACATGGACTATTATCAAGATATTGCAGGAACGAGAATTGAGCTATGGGCTCCACTAAACCATGAATTCTTCTCAATAATCCTTACAATCCAAAATCCTTCGTAAAATCCTCAATACTCCTTACTTTGTCACTAATAAAATTATCCATAAAGATCTTAATGTTCCTTATGTTCCAGATCTGGCCCAATCCAGATACCTATCCTTCCATAATAAACTTCAGAGTCATCCCAACCCTCTCGTTTCTAGCCTTGCTTCCTCCTCGATCCCTGATAACCCTCCGAGGCGTCTGAAAAGAAGATGGCCTCGGGATCTTCTAATGTAGTCATATCATTAGAGTGCTACCATTGGGTAGTTACTCAGCAAATGTATTTGGGACCACAGTGCGGAGGACCAAATTTATTTAAAAATCTATATTATACTTCGCGCCATAATGCCAATTTATATTATTATAGGTATTCTTTTTGCCCATTATGTCCCCATAATAAGGGAGGAATAATTCTAGGAATAAGAAGTATGGTGTCTTCATCACGGTCCATCCCTCTGGTGTCTCCGTTACGGCCGTCCCGATTTGTAAAATAAAGCAAGACAGTCACTAAAAATTTTAACGGACATTCAAATACCACAAATAGAAAAAGATTAAGATAAACCTGAGTATCGTTCTATAACTTGAATAATGGTTCGAATATAATACTAATTTAATGTTGTTTTTTTACATAACAGAAAGATATTGAATAATAAACAAATAATTTTAATAATATACACAAACAAATATCTTGAATTTGGTTTTGGTATTTGAGGAAAGAGCAAGGATAGTGCTCAGGAGCACTTGTTCCCGGTCCTCATTTATTTCCTTAAATTCATGAAAGGAGATCTTTCATCCAGCTCCTTTTAAGTTGCTTCCTGCTTTTAGCCGCTGCCATGTCGTTTAGAAATCTGTCGTAGTGTCCGGATAGTTATTATGAAATTTAATATAAGGAATACATATGTTTAGGTCGATTTTTGTCGGAAGTTGATATTGTTAGTTGTTGGTAGTTTATTGTTGACTTACCAAGGCTATTGTTATTAGTTTTAAAAATTTATTGAAATTATTGCAGTTGTTGTAAATGTATCTTTTTTGATGAACCGTATATGTAGGTGTATTTGCTTAAGCTGGTATGTGTGTATTTAGTTTTTGCCTGATTTTTAATTTTGATTTGGAAGAAAGACTATAGTATTTTCACTCATTTGTTTAAAGTCTATCTTTTCATTTTGAAGTGTGGGCTCCAGGCCCTTCTGTTGAATATCAATCCAACTGTGAAATTTCTCTGAGAAATTCGCTTTTCGCCGTTTTAAACTAGTTAGCACGTGTTTCATCAAATTGTAAATGTTATATACGGTGATTTACTATAATTTAATTTAATTTTCCGAAATGAGAACCATCTTTATAAATTTAGTTAGTTCTATTTTTAATTCTGTGAGAAAAATCTGAGGTTTTGTTTTGTTAATTGGTACGACGTTAGTGGAAGTAGGATTTAATATATATGTCATGCGTATCATGATATAGCTGTTCTTGGAAGTCAACAAGAGGACATTGAGAAACTCAATAAGGCTTTGATAAGAGAAGCAGAGCAAATCGCCCTATAAATAAATAAAGTTAAAACAAAACAATCAGCCAAAAATTTCACCCAATAACAGAATCAGCACAGAAGAGATAAATTCAAATACTTCGACTACACAATGACCTCAATGCATGACAAACGATCAGAAATATAACAGCGTATAAGAAACGAAAACAGAACTTTTTCTCTATTTCAAAAGTATTGAAATCCCAAAAAATTCTGGATAAAAAAAAACAAAACAACAACTAAGGTATGTGCTTTAGACCACACGACAGAAGCGGAAACGTCAACAAGGCAAGATTAATAAAATGGAATATAAATTATAAATAATAGCTGATTATAAAGGAAATGAAATACAGAATGCAGGTACAATTTTTAGTTTCTGAGAAATTTTAATCCATATCTTCAATAAAATCCAGGCCACACCCAGCCTCTATAATGTGGGTACCCTTAATTAAATAATTGTTTAAGGGAGAAAACATGGCGGTTGCGAGTGATCTCGGTCAAATCACCTCCTTACACAACCGTTGACATAGAAACAGTGCTTTTCCCCTAAATAGTACTGAACCCAAGACCCTTCGTGGTTTGTACTGGTACAGATTTTTTTTCTCGATAAAACTTGTTATCATTTGGTTGTCAACACTTTTATTTTCACCTCTCTATCACGGCGTCGCGTTGAGATCCAATTTTGAATAATAGAACATTAGAAAGAGGATGAAATGCTGAACATTTTTTTCGCTTACAGTATGCAGGTCCGATTTTTAGTTTCTGTGATAAAACACTTTATTTTGTAGACTCCAGCCGACTATACCCTACTTTACCGCAGGGGTCAGAGTACAACACATGGAGGAGAAAGACCAATTAACTGGTCACTCAATAACTCCTGATATGAAGGCAAAAAGATCAAGATGGGCGGGGCATGTCGGCGCAATCCATCTGGAAGCCTGCATAAATGCCTCAATATTAGACGGAAGATCACATGGAAGGCCAAAACACAGGAGGATAATCAACAAAGATGCAATAGATCTGTATGCAGATAACTCGAAAGAAATAGCCCAAGATAGACAATGATGGAGAACGCTGGTCAAGGCAGAAAAAGATCTTCAAGGTCTGTAATGCCAATGAAAAAAGTCATACCTAGATGTAGTATTTTTGGTTTACCATAAATCTATGAAGAAACATCTAAATTGGTGTATATTTAGTTTTTGTCTCAGTTACAGCTTAAAGGATTTGGAGAGTAACAATAAGTGAAGTA